TAGGAGGATGTAGCAACGTGCGAAATTTGCAAGAGGGTATCACGCTTCATACATTCCTCATACAACACACCTGGTTGGCATATTTCGGACAATATCGACCACAACCTTCCCAAACAAGTGAAAATGTGTGAAAAGCAGACTTTCGTGTTCTCGATTTGACGTCACATTATCCGCTAGAGCCATTCCTCTTTAAACTCGGTCGTGGGGCAAGATGGCGGCCGATTTTCCGTATTTTGACTAGGCACAGAAAATTTAAGATTTAAGCAAATTAAAAAATTTTTGCACAGAAATACTCCAAAAAATAAGCTTATTTCATTAAGCGAGAAAAAAATTTTTGGGTTTAGGTGCACTTTAAAAATTTGAATAAGTGGTCAGTGATAACACTAAAAAAAGCAACAAATGATATTATTTCTGACAAATGGTGAGGAATCAATAACTTGTCACCTGCATCGCTATGATCAAATGGAAAGACAAGTCACCTATTTTCAAAAGGGAACAACTTTAAGTTTCTAAAAGACTACAAGGCTAGTGTAAATTACGGTGTACCAATTACCAGAATTATTCCTGACCAGCTAGGACAAAAGATTTCTTCCTACCACTGAAAGTCTTGCTTTAAAATCATATCAGATTCTGTATGATAAGCTAGCTATAATTTTTAATTACTTCCGATCAAATAGAAAGTAACACTTACAACAATAATTCCTATCTGTAAATGATCCGTAATAAACATTACCCTTCCTTAATATCCTATCAGAGTATTATTACCCTGTTGTTGAACTTAAATTTCAATATCAACCAAAATTAATTGTTCAATATAAGCTTTTCAAAATATAACTTAAACTTCCAATACAAATATCATGTATTTCTAAGTGATGCCAACTTTGAACAATAACTGTAACTGTCACAGTATTTACTTAATATTCTTCTCAGCCTTCACTATGAAACTAATGTCTTTTGTCAGCTGCCTGTAATTATCAGTAACAAACAGCGTAACCACTTGCAAGTCAACCATTAGAACTAATTAGGTAAATGCACATGTGACAACATTAATGTAAAGGGTTATTTCCTTTACTCACCTGGGATAGCTGAATATACTCTGTCAATCTTATCCTCTAGCTCCATAACACTCCTCATTCCTTCAGCTGTAAAAGTAGGATTCCCATCCACATACAAAGATTCAAGTTTCTTCAGCTGTTTTATAGCTGAACTCGGCAACACAGACAACTGGTTGTAACTCAGATTCAATGTCTTTAGATTTACCATCTCACCAATAGCATTGGGAACGGTGGTTAGTTTGTTGTATGAGATTTTAAGCCATTCTAGTTTCTTCAGCTGTTTTATGTTTGAACTCAACACAGTCAACTGGTTGTGACTCAGATCCAGTTTCTCTAGATCCACCATCTCACCAATACTATCAGGGATGGTGGTAAGTTGGTTCTGTGAGATGGACAGCACTTTGAGTTTCTTCAGCTGTTTTATAGCTGGACTCAACTCAGTCAACTTGTTGTAATTCAGTTCCAGTACCTCCAGTCCCACCATCTCACCGATAGCATCAGGGATGGTGGTTAGTTTGTTACCTGTGATGTATAGCTCTTTGAGTTTCTTCAGCTGTGTTATAGATGAACTCAACACAGTCAACTGGTTTTCCTTCAGAAACAGTATCTCCAGCTCCTCCATCTCACCAATAGCATCAGTGGTTAGCCATTCATTCCATGAGATGTCCAGCCATTTTAGTTTTTTCAGCTGGCTCAGACTTGCAGGGAATATGGAGAGCTGGTTTCCATATAAATCAAGTCTAGTAAGATTAATCAGTTTTCTAATATTTTCAGGAATTGTTTTAAGTTTATTATTAGTCAGGTAAAGTTCCTCCAACTCAATTAATTCCATCACAGCTACAGGCAATTCCTCCAAACTGTGACCCGAAAGATATAAAATCTTTCTTCCATCCCGTATTTTGATCTTTTTTCTCAGTTCTTCTATTGAATTTGATTCCATGTCTTTGGTATGAAACTGTCAAAGCAAAAATACAAGCTGTCCATAAAGGTGAATTAATTAATAATAAAACTAACTAGCTTCAGCATTAAAACCATTAAAACAAAAATGGCAAAAAATGACATTTGTAAATGAACAACTACTAATCAAAACCAAGCTAGTGATATCTTTCCCTTGGTACAATCTTTAAAAGGAATACAGGACATTTCACACAAAAGACCTTTCGCACAAGTCTTTTAATTTGCACAAGTTTTGGACAGCTTGCACAATTCTTAATAGTGGATGACATACTGTCGAAACAAAAAAGTTTTTCTTTTAACAAAGGAAAAGTAATGGGGAGATCATTAGATCATTCAAATAGGGAGTTCTTTACATTCTCAGAGAAAAAGATTTGTTCTTTTCTTCAAGTAAAAACGGTGATTGTGTTCATGAGCATTTCAATCAAGTTGAAGTTATTAATTAAATAAATATCTAAATTCTTGCCATGGGATCTTGTTGAAAGTGACATGTGAAGGTTAAATGTCTTATCAGTATCAATCAGTAAACCTTTTACATTGATGTTTCTCATTTATAATTATTGTGCGAAATGTCCACCAAGAATTGTGTGAACAGTCCAAAACTTGCACAAAAAGACTTGTGCAAAAAGTCTTCTGAGCAAAATGTCCTCTTACTTTTGGAAGCCACCCACTCTGAGTAAAGGATACTTGTGTGGAAAAGCTCTGTGGTTATTTATTTATGTCAGACATTTTGACTTAGGTCTTAAAATATAATATTTTCATAGCACTCATAAACAACTGTTTGAGTTATATACATGTGCCTGTTTATAACAGTTGACGCCAATAGGAAGATTATGAGAGAAAAATTAATCATTAATGCAAATCTATGGTTGGTTATGTTATCACGTGATAACCTTAGACAGTTGTAGTATAAACCAAAACATGAATGATTTCTAAGCTGAAAATATTCAGACCAAGTAGCCATTTTCAGACCTGTTATTTGATTTTATCCTCTGTAAGTTATTTTTATTTGCAATTGACACAGCAAATTAACCAGAAAACAGTCCTGATTTTTCAATAGAAACTAAATAATAAGTCATTTCTCTGACACAATTCATTGTTTGGATTACAAAAAAGCAGAACTAGAGCTTTGAATTTTAATTTGCCTGTTTATTTTTCTTCAGTGAGTTTGTCACCCAGCATAATGCTTTTAGGACCACAATTTTCAATTCAAGATGTGTCTTACATGAAATCTTAATCACCACAGTTGCTGTGCACATTATCTAACCTAATAATGTGGTTGATGCAATAAACAAAATAACAGAGAGAAAAGAAAACTGGTAATAATAATATTTTGTTTATGTTTAAAGCATAGCTACCATAACTAGGGAATGTGAAAAGAAAAAGGATTTACTAATAAACTAAGGATGGTGAGTAAGAAAACATTATAACTGTCAACTCTCCCATAAAAGTACAGCCTCAGGTATTGGTAAAAGTGTCCAATAATAGGGCTGTCCATCTAGAAAAACTATTTCCATGAGTGGACACCAAAGAAAAATAGGAGTGGACAACTGCTTATGGGAGGACAAGAAGGAGAGTAAACAATGATGAACATGGCCATAATGTGACACTACAAAATAATGTTATGTTGCACTCTTGTTAATTTCAAACAGACTGACAGCTTAATTGCATCCCAAAGACAAAAGAAGATTTGACTTAAAAGAATGCAATCCCCCCCCTTTTCTGTTGCTCTTTCAATTGTCATGACTGTATTAGTTGATTTGCAAATAAAAGACAAGTTTCATTGCCAAAAGTCAATTACTATACTTGGGGCATGCACTTATAAGAGAGTACACACAAAAGAAAACTACAAATTCACTTTAAAAAAACATTTGCTTCTGCTTACAAGAGTGTGTCCACTTACAGGAAAGTGTAAATACAGAGTTTGACTGGCCAACAAAACTGTGAATTCCAGAGAATCACAGGGTAGCGTTGCTTAGCAGTGGAAGGATAGCTAGTACATAGAGCCCCAAAACGAACGCACAAGCACCATGTGTAACAATCCCAAGTGTTTAATTTTATGTGATACAAAATGGAACGTAGCCAGGTAGCGATAAATAAGGTAGTTGCTGAATACTTTGGTGTGATTGCGATAGCAAATGTGGTAGAATTGTGTGTGTGTGGTTCAAACTAGAAGGTAACAGAAAACGAAATGAAGCTAATTAATTGACTTACAAACAATGACACAGCACAATGACCTATTCTTGAAATCAACTGAACTAATAATGAAGGAAACCATAAACTAAATCGAGCATAAACCATATAGTTAACTTACTTTGGTAGAGCTCCTAGCGTACTTGAAAAGCGCGGTGGCGGAGTAGAGAAAACAATTTTACACTGCGTAGTGGAGCGCACGACCTCTTGACAGCGATCAAAAAATGGTCCTCTTTGTCGCAAGCCCGTAATATGAGCGAATGACTGACATAAATTGCGTAACAATTTCACACCAATTACAGTAATCGACAAAAATAAACCGTGACGTAGATAAACATTAACTAAGCTTAGACAATAGGCGGTTAAGCAATAATCTAAAGTACAAATAAAATAAATAGCGTTTCAAAACTAACTAAAACAGCGAATTGAAAAAAATGTCCAAAAATAGAGCTGTCCACTTACAAGTCCATTAGCAGGTAAAATAAGATCCTTAATAACTAATTTGCAAATCCATTCAAGGACTGTCTTCAAAACTTAATAAATTGTCTGGCTTCTTTAATATTTAATTGCAACAAAATAGTTAAATTCAAGTCAAAAATCTTACAACAGTCATTATCCAATTTCAAAATTTATTTACATCTAACCCTATAACTTGCATGAGTGACCAACACAGGAATTCTCCTTACAAAGCAATACAACATCAAAAAGAAAAGTGATGAGAATAAAGAAAAATATCAATTTTGGGGGATTATTAGTTGATCCAATACCAAATTCTCCAAACTAACATCATGTGAATTGTATGGCAGACAGTAGGGAGAATTACTAATAAGATCTTGGGAGTGAAAGGGTTAAGGGAATGACAGTGTTCACCTCACAACAAAATAATTTGTGTCCTCAAATACAGTATGTACCGAATGCATTTCTTGCTTTTTCAAACTAACAAAGAATGGTAAAAGGAAAAAAAGGCTCCAAAAATTTTAAAAATTCAGAGTTAACTTGCCAATAAAAAACAAATTTGAAGCCATGGATCTTTAGGCTACTCAGTCTAAGTCCAAACAAAGAAAAAACTCATTTATTTTGCAAATCCTTAATAATTTGCAGATTTTAGAATTAAAATCAATCACACAAGCTGTTTAATTTGTGATCATCATATTCATCATGTGGCCAATTTTCCTTTCCAAGTCCATTTTTAACTTCTTTACACAAAAATCCAGAGAAAAAAAAAAGAATGGAAAAAAAGCAAGACCACTGCTATCATCTCCAACAGTTGCATGTATATTGAGCTGTGGATGCACTTGGAAAGTTGCTTCATTTTTAAGATTATTCACAAATTGAAAGTGCATGCAAGTGAATTGTCATGGATATTTTCCTTGAAAAGCAAGGTGATAAAGATATAGGTCTGTAATGATTGAATTCACAAACTTCCCTTGATTTGTATACAGGAATGACAATTGAGGTTTTCAAGTCTTCAGGCAGTTTGCCTGTAATGAATGTTAGATTTATGATTATGTGATAATGGTTCACTCAATTCTGACACTAACTGTTTTACTACTTGGGGTAGAATATTGTCATGTCCACAGCTTTTTGATAGGTCGCCATTTTCTAATTCTTTCTTATTTCTTGTTCACATGCAGACAGGTGACGATAGCATTGAATCCATGTAATTCCCCTTCAAGTAGCTATTGAATGATAAGTTGGTGTTAGCTGTTATTTTCTGAGGAAGGTTAGGTTCAATGTTGACAAAATAATTCATTGAAACTATTAACAATTATTTCCTTCTCATTGGTAACATGCTCATTAAGTTTTTTAAATTCCATGGAGCTACTGTATTTATTCTTCTATAAGCCGAGACCCAAACTTCAGTCTGTTTTAATCAGGAAGGTAATTCTTAAAACATGTAAATTGAAATTACTTGGCTATAAGCTAAGACCATAAATTATTCAGAGAATTCCATTCTCAGAAAACTGAAATGAACACAAAAGTTTCAAAACAGAAAAGCGTTTCAATGCAGTATTACCGTTGAAAACAATTCTGAGATCACCATAGAGTACTCCAAAAATTAATATCCACCACTGGATGAGAGATTACTTGACTAGTTTACAGAGCAGGGAAGCCAAGGTAAGTTTTCTTGTTACTTGTTGCAAATTTCAACACTGTAATATGTGATGAGTTTGTTTACCAATCATGGGAAAGGGCAATTCTGGTTGGTCAGTTTCGAAATTCTTAAAACACTTTCACAAGCTCTATACACTCGTTCAAAACCTGCAGATTCTCTAACACTCAAGACAGTACAGATAATGAAGCAATCTAATCAGAAGAAACAGCAGAACTAGCGGATGAGGAGGAGATAGACGACAAATTCAATGCCAACACCGAGAACAAACAGCAAGCTGTATTTACTCCACACCAAAAACAACAAACTGCTCCTTTGGAAGCCACTGTATAAATAAAGTCAATGACCAATGTGTTTTGTTATTTATCTCTGCATGCAATATCTCGGCTTGTGGATCTATAGATGTTTTCTCTAGAGATGTGACCTCTCACGCGAAAACGTTCCTAACGGTAGCCGTTCGAACAGTGAACGGAACGGCAAGCAAACGGGTGACGAACGGCTAGGAAAGCCATTCGAAACGGATACTGTGAACAGATGAACAGCTGATTAAAATTTTCGAACGGATGAGGTCAAACGGATGAACAGCTAGTGAAAATTTTGAAACGGACGAGGTCGAACAGATGAATGGCTAGTGAAAATTTTCGAACGGATTAGGTCGAATGGATGAACGGCTAATTAAAATTTTCGAACGGATTAGGTTGAATGGATGAACGGCTGATGAAAATTATCGAATGGATGAATGGCTAATTTTCCAAACACTGAGATGAGCCTCACAGATGAGATCAAATGGATAAACGGCAATGCAGTCAAACAAGTGATCTCCTGTAGAAATTATTTGAACAGATGGTTTCGTCAAAACGAATGCCGACACAGGTGACTCAAGCTCTCGTCTTGAGCCAAAGCGAAGGATTATTTCATGAAAGCGTCATGCGTTGGGTGACACGGTGTTAAGTAATGCAAGGTATTTGACACAATCTGTGAAAAGATAACTTGAAACGAGTCGAAACTCAATCGTTTGAATAACTTGACTTCGCTTTCGGCGCATTCAAATGGATTATAATTAATATTTTTATTATTGAATTCGACTGATTAAGATACAAACAAGGAACTTGCACGCGAAAAGCATAGTTCTCAACTTCAATTCGGGTTTAAATTTCCACAATCCCAGCTTCCCTGTCACTCCATCAAAAATGTGTTGCCTTGGTAACTGCTAACAACTTGTGTCAATTACCGCCATTTCACACAATCACAAAATGGAGAATTCAACGAGAGAAGATATGGATTGCGATCACACCGAAAATGTTTCTACCATCGTTGCCAAAGTGCCAAGCAAACGGCTGATGAATTTTCTCAAATGGATAGCTCGAACCGTTCGAACAGATGATGAATATTCAAGAACGGATAGCTGGAGGCATTCGAACGGATTATGAATAAATTATTCAAGAACGGATAGGTAGAGGCGTTCGAACGGATGATGAAGTTTATTAAGCGGATAGCTCAAACGGATCGAACGGATGATGAATATTCAAGAACGGATAGCTTGAGGCATTCAAACGGCATGCCAATCCAGTCGAACGGCCGATGAACAGCTGGTGAACGGCTATCCGTTCAAAAATGGCTAACCATTCGGAACGTTTTCCCATGAGAGGTCACAGATGTTTCCTTTGAATTTGCTGTTTTGAAAAAATTATGTTTGGAAAAACACTCGGCTATAAGCCAAGAACCCTTCTTTAGCTCAAATTTTCAAGAATTTGGTAAAGTCTCATGAAAAATTTGCTTGGCCAATAGATGAATAAATACTGTAACAGTAACTGCTTCTTTCTTTTTTCTGTTGATTACTTAATTTACTAGGTTCCATGTCTGTTTAATATCACCTCCAGTGGTTCCAAACTTCTATTCCTAACATTTCTTTTTTCAGAATATAATTTTTTTTTGTTAACTTGTTCAGATAGTAAAGGTAAGTATCTGTATCTCACTTTTAACTCTTCAGTTCCATCGTTGAAAATCTTTTTGTAGAGGTTGTTTTTAATTTTAGTTGATTTTTTGAGTCCTTTCATAATCCAAGGTTTCTTATGAATTTTGTTTCTTTGTTAGACAAATTCTTTTCAGGTATACTATTATTGTATAGGCACATAATTATTAAAGGTTTCTTAAAAAGGAACATGCATCATCAATGTCACTGATGCTCTTAAAATGTTCCCAATCAATGTTTTGAATTTCATTGCATAATTATTATTTTGTTAATATTGCCTTAGTTTGTTATTGCTCTCCTCTTGAAAGTAAGTTCCATTTTGGTTCTGGCATGCTAATAGTTGGTAATTAATATTTGAAAGACTGGCAGGTGATCTGAAAGATCATTGATCAAAATTCTCCTTAGGCAATCTAAGTGGATGTTATTAATGAATATACTATTAATCAATGTTGCTAAATTTGCCATAATTCTTGTTGATCTGTTTTTAACTGGATAACAATGAAAGCTATATATTAATTTTAGTGAAGAAATCTGTTTTCATAGTCACTGGTCTCAGCCTTTATAAGATCAATATTCAAATCTCCCAGTAGTATACACATCTTGCTCTCTTTGTCAACCTTGTGAAGAATAGTTTTCAAATCTGCTCCAAATTCATTAAAATTGCTCTTTGGCAGTTTGTAAATTGTTCCTTCAATGGTTTCCTCACTTAACTTAAGGCAAGTCTCTAGAAAAAACCTTTTTAAGACACCATCTCTTTGTAAATTCAAGTCATTTCTAACATGAAAGCTTAATACAGAGGATATAAACATCCCCACCAGTCTTCTAAATGTTCCTCTTGACGTTAACAAATGATGGCTTGATTAGTGATTCATTATCATTATTATGCCAAGTTTCACTTAGTCCAATCACAGAAAAATTATGCACTAACTCCCCAAGATATTGCTATAGATCATCCAATTTATTGATCAAACTCCCCACATTTACACGTCATTAAATAAGAATAGTGTCTATTAATTGTGTTATGCCTTGTTCTTCAAAGCCTCCAGACACATGCAAATGAGGTGGACGGGTATTCTGAAGTTGCTCCAAATTTTTTCATCAGTATAACGCTTTCATTGCTTGTTGTGAAAAACTAATCGATGATCAGCAACTACCACAAAGAATAATTGGAGCAAGCCTGACTAACGTCAACACGATCAGAAACAGGTTGCTCCCCGTTTCGGCTAAACTTCAGAGTACCCGGCCACTCATTTACATGTCATTGAATAAGAATAGCATCTATTGTGTTATGCTCCATTCTTCAAAGCCTCCCGACACATGTAAATGATGTGGACGGGTATTCTGAAGTAGTTTGGCTAAACTTCAGAATACCCGGTTCTCCCGTACTTTCCATTCCAATTGTCCCTTCAAAACGCCTATCTTAACTTACAATAACTTTATTTCATTTCCTGTTGCTAGGAGTTTGTACTTCAACGCGGCTGCTACAGAACGCCGACCTATTAGTCTGCAAGATCGTTCGAGTGTTCTGCATTTGACGGGTGTTGCTAAGTATACAAAACAGATCAGAACTTTGCAAAATTAGAATACAAAGGGAAAGAGAGACTATTGGAGATGACAGAGAACTAGACTGAACGGGCGGAAAATGACTCGCGAAAACACTTGAGGGGAAATGACTTCAGTTTGATTGAGTGGAGAGTTCGAATTAATTCCCACCTGAATTATCTTTGTTCGCGTTTTCGGAGTGTAGTGAGGCTAAACTTTACAAATAAGCTAGATTATTATCTGTGTTGAACATAATACTTACTTCTCAGCAAAGTGAACAACAACTGCAGCGAATTGTAGCGAAGTCAAAGACTTATTGTGGACAATCTTGCTGTTCAGCTCGTTGTAGTCCCGGACTTGCGCATTAAGTTCAATTTACATCACTATGCTCCTAACATTTCACGCGACCAAGCAATTGACGCAAGGGACGGGTACAGGGGGAGGGGTTGTCTCTTCGCTGCGTCGGCAGGCAATTAGTATTTAGTAAGTTCTTCAGGAGGTATCAAAGTAATATTTGATGAATGTAAGTTAATCGGTCTTAAAAAGTGATAAAAAATTATCCGAGCGTTGGAAATACATCACAACAAAGCGATGTGGGGTGTGTTCAGCGAAAAAATAGTAGAAAATGTTATTGAAATTTCGGGAGGCGGAAGGGCAATATTTCAACAGATCTTGGCATGAAATCTTGAATTCTTCTAAATGGTTAAGATATAAAAATTGATGAGGGTTTTAATGCATACTAGGCCACCGATGCCAGATACAGTAGCGTCAGTAAGAATCTTTGGTAGTTTGAGTCAGTTACTGATGCAAGATTTGTTAATGCCCTAAGAACGCTAAGGCTGTTTGCGTCGATCTTTAGTGATTGCTGTCATGCCGGGGAAATAACTGATTGCTGTGGGTTGGAGGGCGAAAAGCTGTTATTAATCGTCTAGGACAGAAAAGAAAGATCTAGGAAAATTTCTTTCATTTTCAGTGTTTTCGAGAGGTAAAATGATTACAAAAGTCTTTGCGACTCATTATTACAAAAAACAAGTCCTCTAGTTTTTCCTTTTTCATTTTGTGTATCGGAATCTAGTTTGTTTCCCTCAGGTGAGGTGAGAAAAACAGATAAAATAAGAAACTATTGAGATGTCATTTAAGAGTCAGGCTA